CCAGACAACGTCCCATATAAAGACGTAAGCCTCTGTAACACGCATCTATAAAGAATCCTGAGGAGACACACAGAAAACACAGGGGCATGAACTGCCTACAGACACTAGCTGGTCTAGCCCATATAAAAAAGCCCCATTAAATGCAAAGCTGAGGGAGCAAAAGAGGCTGTGTACTACCCCAGCACATGAACATATCCAGGCTGAAAGTAACAATCAGTGCTCATTATGTGCCCGGTACTGTCAGTGCCTTGGCATCGGTAACCCCAACACCAGCTAACTCTCATTTTCAAAGCTAATAACAGCCTTTTTGACACCCACTTCCTCTTAACACTATTTCTGGCACCCTTAAATGGAGAGCAATTAGCTAGCAGACATGCATTACTATGCACCTAATACGAATTCAATTAAGTAGACAGGAGGGCTAAAGGTACTATGCTCATAAGTGATTTATGCAAATATAAACAACAGGCAACAAGTTGGGTCTGAAGCATTATGCAGCTAAACAAATAATGCACTTACCTAGTGGAGTCCACAGTATTCACTAAACAAGCACTCTCACATCTGGTACCTGCTCCTTCTTGTTCTCAAAGGTTTCCCCTCCCATGTTTCTCCCCAACACACATGCATTTCTGGGCTCTGGTTTTATGCTCTCAGGCCACCTGCCCTTTGCTGCACCCCACATTTGTACTTCCTGACTAGTAGCCTGCCTTCCCTTCCTTTTCAATGCTAGTTCTTCACTTGATGGAGGTGTCTGAGACCTTCAGAGGATGCAGGATATAGACTGGGACTGATTCAACCCTGTGAACACACCATCCACAGCCTGCATTACAGAGACTTCTTCCCCCATATAATGCACCTCATGGATCTTCACAACCTTTAGGAATGAGCAAACTCCCAGGTGACATCAAGCCAAGGCTCTTTAATTAAAATTCTTCCCCACAAACCATTTTTCCTCCAATTCAGTACAAGTGGGCCTGTTCATCTGCCTTTTTAACATTATATACACTTTTCTGTTCAATGCCACCTGAAGAAAAGCTATCCTGTTCTGAACAGAGTGGTTAGCATACACATTGATGCCATATCACACGAGTGACTCTATATTTTAATTAACAATGCTAGCATTTTCAGCCTACGTTTGAATCTTTTTGTCATTTCTTCGTAAAATGATTCACTGGAAGAATCAGGGCTAGTAAGGAACAGCTCCATTCTACCAACTATATTCTCCACACAAGACAGTTAAAAATCACTTACTGGAAAAACCCAGCAGTTGAACATCATGGTGGTATTATAAGTGCCATAGAAATCTTTTCATCATCAAGTATGAACCCTTCCCCCATCTACACTAGCACCTATTCCTGAGAATCCTGTAAAAGCCTGTCCGATTTCAGGTAGGGTGAGCCATTCAAGTCAGGGGAGGGAAGAAGCCTCAATTCGTTAGCTCAACACCTGCCATTTCTTGGTGACAACAGGCACCGAGGCCTGTGTCATACCATGTACTGATTAAAGTAACTAGGGCAAAGCAGGCAGATGATGAACAAAAAAAAAACAAAAAACTTTTCAAATGTATACAAACCATAATCTGCTCAACAATCCTGAGACCACAGTATTCAAGAGTATGAATTCTTCCAAACATAGGTGTTTAATGGTCAAGCTGAAAATAAAGCTTGTTAAGGTGAGAAAAACAATAAAAACAGTGTGCAGTGTAATTCACTGAGCAGAGACTTTCCTACAAGGCAGTTCAGAAACCCATCTATGCCTGGCAATTACTCAGGAAAGGACTGTTCAAACTCGGGGTTACTTAGAGCTATAACAGCAGTTCGCCAGCAGCCCAAAGTCCATACCTGCTGATCTGAAAACAATTGCCTGTAACCAAAGGCTTTTTAACTAAACAACGTTTGCCCGTTTATCAAATGCTATCAGCAATGAGAAGCCTGCAGCAGATCATATTTGGCTTTCTGGTAGGAATTTTCACTTCCAGGCTCCCAGGTTTGTTAAGAAGGATACAGGAATGCTTTGCAACAACAGTCCAGTAGACGCAGCAACAACTTACAGCCTCCCAAGACCTTCACTGCTACTACTTCCATCACAGGCTGGCTGGGAACTAGATGCTCTCCAGGATTTTCAGATTTATTTTTCCTGTAGTGAGGAGGTGGTGGTTACACTTAGCATGAAGTTCTTCATGGCTAAAAGTAGCATTCAGTCTTCTAACAGGAGGTGATGACACTTACTTGGAACACAGTTCTGCCAGGTCTTGAACGTAGCCCACTAAGTTCATCCTATTCAAACGCTTCAAGCTTTGTTCTACCTAAAAAAACAACGAAGTCTTTTGGTCAATACTTTTTTGTTTCTCAATCAATGGGTCTTTATTAGTCAGTATTGTCCATTGTTGATGTGTAGGCCTGCCACACCTGGTGCCAAACCCATTGGCGCACACAAATATCTACACAAGGGCAAGGAGGATCTCTAGATGACATTATTGTGAACGTGGACTTTATAGGACTCAGGCAAAGACTATCAACTGATCCTACACATTCCAGGCAGCATCTTGCAATTGTGGCTACTTAAATTAAGCTTGCAAAACAAGCTTCAGGAGAAACCAATCATAAGAATCAGAACAGAAAGTCTAGATTCCAACCTCTGTTTTGTTAGTGCAACAGGCAGCGTATTTCATACCCATACCACAAAGTGTTATTAAACATTCCATGTTCTGTTACATTTGAAAGTTGCTTTGAGACCACCTTTGAAAAACATTCGTTAGTAGAAACAGTATTTAAGGCAACCTTTGAATTATTCCCCCTTCTCTCAACAGAAATACAAGTTCTGTCCTATCTAATGTTTTATATTGAACTTCTTGAAAGTTGCGAATAAAATGAACTACAGTAAAAGTTATGTTATCTGACATCTTACAAGCTGGCATGCTCCACTAACTGGTATGCCGGCTTGTAAGATAAAGTGAAACCAGAAGTGCTCACCGTGGCACTTCTGGTTTCTCTGAGCCCCCATTGCTTGGGGCAAAGCAGCCTGTGCTGCCAAGCCCCCACAGCCCGGGGGCATAACAGGCTGTGCGGAACTCGCCACCCTGTCCCGCAGGGCCCGCCATGGGGGGGGCGGAGGGGACACTCCAGACACGGCATGAGAAGCGGTGGCCAGGGCTGCTCAATTAACCGGCATATTTTGTTATCCAGCATCCTCCGTTCCCAAGGGATGCTGGATAACAGAACTTTTACTGTATTTATTTAGGTTTTTAACTTAAGCAGAAAGTGTCTTGTATTGTTCCCACTGAAATGAGTGGTAAAATCTCTCACCAGCAGCCAAATTCTCTATCTAGGATCAATAAAACCTAAATGAATGAGATTCATTTAGAATAAAATGCACGTGAACAATGTTATGAAACTTTACCAAAACCCAGATCTCAATTTTTTTCTTCAGAACATGGTTGTAAAAAAAATTATTAGAAAGCTCATTCCACCAACTATTACTGCAAAATAATATGAATCGGTATGATTTTCCCTGCTGACCTGTTTCAGAGCCAGGTAGGTTTTATGGCGAGACATTTTGCTGTGGCAGACATAAAGGATCGCATGCAGGACTCTTCCTTCAGCATCCACAGCTTTGTTGTTCAGCCATGTGAGAGTGGCAGAGCACTCTTTACTAACTGCTGGAAGGCATCTCACTGCAGGGGTGGAGGGAGGGAGGAAGGGTGAGAGGGAGAGAAAGAAGGAGTGGGGGGGAGGAGAAACATTATTGTTTTGCAGTTCCACATGAAATAAATGGTTTAAGACAGCACAATCATGTAACAGTCCACACCCCAAAATCAAATGACCAAAGAAACGCATCCCCTAAAGTAAAGCCTGCAACCCCAATCTGCCATCTCCCCTCACATGAAACAGCTTAAAATCCAGAAGGAATTTTTAAAAGCCATTTTCCGCTTCCTGCCTTTTGCTGCCTACACACCCCTTAGCTGGGAGAGGGGAACCAGCATGATGCAGCGGGACAGAGAAAGGGAGTAAGAGAGGAAGGGCAGCGGGTCTGGGCTCTGGATGCTCCAAAGGAGCAGCAATACAACAGTAACCACACGGGTGGGTGGGTTTGGAGAAAGAGGGGGCAACTGCTTATGGCTTTTCAATAAAAATTTCAGTCTTCCTTTTTGGGGAGGAGGGGGGGGAAATCTACATACTTACCCCTCCCACCCCACTAGCAGGAAATAAACATTAAAGATGTACATCATACACATCCTAATGTGCCTGTAGGGTTACCAACATTGTTCGAACAATTTATCCTAGGTTTCCAGACCGCCAACATGCCCGTGCCACACAGCACGAACGTGCCCACGTATCTGGTACATTTGACAGTGCGCAGACTTTACGTTAGGAAGGCAAATACACGTTACTGCTACATTATAGGAACCAGTGGCCTACTGTCTAAATTGGATTCAACGTTTCATATTTATTTTGATGAAGGCGATATATTTTATCTCCCCGGTGACTCCAAGCAGTCCCCTCCAGATTTAGATTGCATTCCTGGACTCCAGGGTACCCCTGGAGGGTTAGCCACCCTATGTGTACCCTACAACCCCCCTACTGACTACCATGCACGCACACAAGTGACATCACAGCCCCAGCACACGCTTTTCCAGTCCCAGGACGCAGAGGCGCGCCCGTAACGTCACGAGTCCCGGGACTAAGCCAGCTGAGCGCCCGCGCCTACCCCCAGCACAGCCCCCTTCGCTACCTGAGGGGTGCTGTTCCGGCAGAGCCACCGTAGCGCTAGTGGCAGGCCACGGCACGTTCACTCGATTCCACGCGGCCTCCCCCAGCCCGGGCGCCGCCATGTTTGCTAAGGGCGGGGAAAGGGGCGGGGCGACGAGGCCAGACGCATGAGTGGGCGGAACCAAAACAGAGCTGGGGGCGCGGGGGAGGAACCCTGCGGGCTGTACCAAGTATCCCGGGAGCGGCGTTCGTGCGCAGGGCTTGTTATCGCCGGGCAGTGGGAGGTGCGAAGCCCCGTGCGGGCAGGTGCTGCGGTTGCCCCTCGGCCTGGACGCCCCCAGGGCAGGGTGCAGGGGCCCCAGACACATGAGCAGCTACTTGAAGGCAGCCCGGTCCTAGCCAGGCTGGGGTAGATCAGCTGCTACGTCCTGTGGCACTGCGTGAGGTCCGCCAGGCTGTGCTGACTTGTCCCGCAGCCCTCGCTGTAAGGCAGCCGCCAGGAGCTCTGCTGTTCAGGGTGCCCCGTGTCCCCAGCATGCACCCCGACAGCCAGGGAACCCGCCTCAGCCTTGCAGGTGGCATCAAATGAACCAGGCTCCCTCCTGGCCACCAAAGCAGGGCTGGTATTGGCCGCCTCTAGTGGGAGGACAGGTGGTTCTTTGTACCTGGAGGTAGATGGGGCCAAGAGGTGGCAGCTCGTGTTGCAGCCAGGGTGACTCTGTCTGGGGGGCTTCTATTTCATCTGGAGAAACACAAGAAAAGCCAAAGCGAGTTCCTCCGAACGGTACCCCTGTTTCTGAGGAGATTAGCAATCAGGCAACGTTTCCAAAGCAGCCGCGTGCAGCAGAGAATACGCAGGCCGACTTGCTGCTGCGTGGCGAGGACACGGGCCCCTCAATCCGCTTCATGCAACTTACTGACTCCCAGCCCTGTGCCTGCGCGTGTGGACAAGTTTTATACAGTTCAGGTTTGGATTTCTGTTTTCGTGCCCATGTCTCTGAGAAATCAATCTCTTGGCCAGTTGAGTAGGCGGCAAGGAAAGTGAGCCATGACTGGTGACCATTATTCTTTCCAAGGGTCACTTTCTTACAATTGGGTGCAATCACTGGCCTGTGCACCTCAGTTCCCTTGAAGCTGTCCCTCACAATCCGCTTCTCTCACATGCATATCAATACAGATTTAGACTGAACTGCTTCTGGGATCAGAGTATCTGTGAGGAGGCAGGTAGTGGCAGACCCAACACAGCAAAAAGGGGTGAGGAGTATTCAGAACTCCCCAACAATTGTACAGAAGGCATCTGCTCCCAAGATATTTTTCTCACACCTGAAGAGGGATCTTGTGTGCCCAAAAACTTGTCTAGGATTTCTCCCAGCTATAGAATTGGTCCACTACAAGAGCACTACCAAACACATCTTGCTGCTTCTATGTTCCCTGGACCCTACAACAGCACTACAGGTCTGCTTCACAGCACAGGCTGCTGTAAGCACATCACGCTTGCACTCCACTCACTTCTCAGAGTCTTTCAGCAACAGAGTTTTCCTGGTATCTTCCTCCCACTGGGTACCTGTATCAGAAATTGAATTATATCCTACATTGCCTCTTCTACTTTGGTAGTAGCTTGTATGCTCCCAGTTGAATCTGATTCACATTCTGTGTATAAACTTGATGAAGTCAGTGATATTAATATCAGGCATGAGTTTTAACTTGGGCTTCTAATCTTCCTAGAACCCTTTTCCCACCCCTCTGCCTTTGTTCATAAGTACAGATCAGATGGTGAAATTGAGGGTGTCCCTTTAAGGAGGTATTTGCCCTGAATGGTCACAGCTGAAGGAAAGAAAAGGGAGACTACATAAAAGGTTGTTGGGACAAGATGCTGCTTCCTGTAGAGTTGGTGAAAAACATCTCAAGTGGTAAACAAACAAACAAGCAAGTGCATAGAAAATAAGTGATACATGTGAAATGGAGGACAGGAGATGTGATTGGAGTGTTACTAAGGTCTCTTTGGAAGAGCTCCTGAGATGTTATAAACAGCCTATAAGCGAGGAGCAAGCTTGGGCCATTTGCTTTCAGTGCTGCTGTAAAATGAAGCAGTTGGCTCAAGGGCTCCATCCATGGTCTCCTGCTGTGGTTATAAAAGGCCCTGGAAGTATCCTCATCCATTCCAATGGCCATGTTTCCTTCTTGCTGTGCTCTAAATCTGGTAAGGGCAAGGATGACAATTGATGGGGCTCTTGTTTCTATTCTGCACTTAAAAAAATAATCAGCTAGTAACACTTTATCCATCATAACCAAAAATGTGTTGCTGCTTGGTTTTGGTTTTTGTTTGGGGTTTTTGGGGGGGTGGGGGAGGTTGGGGGTTTTTTTGTTTGTTTGTTTTGTCTTTGAACTGTTTTCCATAGTAAAACCCTTGATTTTTCTCTGCAAATAGCAGGCTGACTCCTGGAATTTCTTGGCTTGTCTCCAAACCCAGTGAATCTGCAACTAATGTGAAGGGCTCTATTTTCCCTACCCACTAGGGTGCCCGTAGGGAAATGGGGAAGAAGGGGTATTAATTGGGGGGAATCTTGGCAGCAGTGTTTCTCAAAGGTTAGAGCGCTGGCTTTGGAGTCAGTTTCTCAGTTCTTTTTCTGCATCTGCTGTTTTTCCCTTGTCTATAATAATGAGATAAAATTTATTTTTTTAATGTGGTGGTGAATTATAATATATTATTGCTCTCTGCAAAATATTTCTGAAGTCTTTGGATAAAAAAATACTGTGGGATAGGGCCTAGTTCAAATTGTGATTTCACACTTTTTGTGAAAATCACAAAATTAAGTGATTTCTTTTTTTCATGAAAAAATGTGACTTGCAATAAAAATGCCACAATATGCCTGTTTGCTGGGGAGTTCCCCAACAAGCAGCTGTATTATGGCATTTTGTTGCAATGATGGCAAGAATTCCCCAGCCAGCAGCAAAAGCTTAGCAGCCTAGGGGAGGAGGGAAGGTGTCACAAAACAGGTTAAGTACACTAGAGCACGCCTCTCTGGCACATAGCCAGCATGGGATGGGTGTTCGCTTCCTCTTCCTGCTGCTCTTGAGGGCTCTGGGATTTGCAGTCCAGAATCACAGCAACAGGACTCTGCATGGTTGCTTGTTACTTTTTCTTCCTGCTTCTAGGTGCCTCTGGGACTTGTAGTCCACAGTCACAGCCAGCAGTAGGTTTTAGTAAGTTTAGCAGCAGGGCAACTGTTACAGGTTTAAACCAGTTTCTGATTGCTTAAGCTGGTTTATGTGTAACTTCTGTCTCTAAAAGGGACAGGAAGGAGAGAACTTGGGGATGGGGGGAGGGGGATGGCATTTGCTGTTCCAGGTGGCTTTTTTTTGTCCAGTGCCAGGGCCATATACTAAGGCAGCCCTTTGGCACCCCCAACCCCTTGCACCCCAGTTTTCCTGCCCGGAGGAACAAACAGACTCCCTTACCTGGTGCCAGGGCTGTCTTAATTACTGCCTCTTCCAGGGAAGTTGGGGTGGGGGGGAGGGAAGAGGGGCGTGGGCTTTTCAGCAGTGATCAGAGGCCTTTGGAACTAGGCATCTCCTGCTGCAATTAAACCTGCCCCCTCTGCCAATCAAGGGGCATGGTGTGGGGGAGAAGTGGCACAATCTGAGCATGAGTATGGTGGCCCCTGTCACGATTGGGCCATGATATTAGCGAGCTGGGCCCACAACTTAAACCAGGCCCTACCATAGAAGAAATCAACTTTTCTAATAGTAACACATTGAATCACTTTGTTAGAGGGGTGTTACCTAAACAAATGGCTTGTATAAGGGGTTTATGAAGAATGTCTCACTTCATCCTCAGATGAACATTCCCTTCCTCCTTGTCCTCCCACTCTGTCACTTGTGAGTCCTAATCTGAAGCTATGCAGGGGGATGAGGGGACACCATGGATGGCATAATTGTTCTGGGTTTTGCAGTCTCTTTACTTCCTAATGCTAGACTTCAGAAGTAATAATATATGCATAGGATTAGAATGGGTCTTTTAAGTCACTTAGTCCAGCTGCGCACACTGAAGCGTGGATGATGCCATTGCCACTGAAGGGAAAGGGACTAATGCTTGACAAAAATAACTAGTCACTTTCTGCATGTGTTTATTCTGCAATGTTTGGAGCAAGTTGATTTTCCTCATGCCTTTTCTGTGAAATCTCTATATGGGTTGTGGCTCCCCCACGCTAGGATGAAAGGTGGCCAAAAGACAAGTCTCTATTTTCCAAAGAGCAAGTCTTGATATAGTCTGACTGAACCATACTTAGGCCTGTTGTATCTGTAGTCTGCGTGGGAGCAGTGGGTGTTGAGAGAGAGAGAAAGGAAGCTCCTTTCTCTTATTTCTACTTGAGAAGCATCCAGAGGCAGAGAACATCAAAGGGAAACCATACCTCGCACTGTTTTCTAATGATCCTGGATTCTCATCCAATTCCCTTCCCTGCCCTCCCCACAAAGAAAATGGAGGATAAAACTGTCTGAGGACTTCTCCCAATGGCAAGAAACCAAACTTGCATGATATACTGGAAAGGGAAATTTGGGTCAGTGTCAAGGGCCCATGCAAGCCTAACAGTCCACTGGGCTGCTGTGGTTAAGGCACACCAGTTACTGTAGTCAGTGTCATATAAGGGCATGATATGGCCAGCATGATATCTGGCCACTTTTGGCTTCTCAGCCTGAATGACCAGGTGCCCATTTACAGCTGAATCAACTGGGGCAGTCTGTGGCAGAAGACCAGAGCAGGGCTTGAACTTTCACCTCCAGCACTATAGCAAGACATGTTAATGGTTCTGCCACTCCACCAAGTAGGGTCAGTGAAGGCTTTATCTTAATACAAAAAAGAGCAAGCCGTTCACAATCCCTACAGACTTATGTTATTTCACTTGTTTCCCTTTCAGATGTTCAAAAGACACAACGATCAGAGGACAAGGTAAGTCTCTCTTTGGAGTCAAGATGGTGTCAAGGACCTATGACTTCAACCTAGGAATGGCACAGTCATAATCCTTTCTGAGTAGATGTTCTAGGTACAAAAATCTAAGCTGCCTTGCCCTGCAACAACGGGTCATGTTCAAAAGATTCAATTGTCATTTAATATTCTTGGTGCTTGAAGAATGCCAGGGGCCTGAAGGAAGATGACTTTCATCTCCATTCTTTGACCAGGGAAAGGCCCAAGGCCAAGTTCAGAAATGAAACTACTTGAGTGGTCCTGATGTACATGCTGCAAGGGAAAAGGGTGAGGTGCAGCTGGCAATACTGCCAACTATGGGGTTTATAAAGTGGGTGCATTTCTGCTGCCACAGCACACTTCCACAACTTCAGCATGCTGTAATCATAAGTGATTCTGGTCTAGTCTCTTATACCTTGTCACCCAGCTTGAGCAACCATGACAGGATTACCTTGTGACCACCTTATCCTTCTGTGAAGAAGACACATGACCTCCAAAGTGGGTAGAGGTGTTATTTGGGTTAGAAATCTGAAGGTATCATCTGGGAACTGTCTTTACAATACTGAACTACTACTGCATTGATCTGAAAGGTTGCTTGCTTCTGTTCATAGCTGCTGGAGTGTCTGGGAATGGTGATCTATAATGCCCTGGACTGGGGCATTGACAGCCATATGGAGCGAGAGCTGAGCAAACCCCTGGAAAACCTGATTTCCCTCATGCTGAAACTAGATGTTGAAGCAACAACACCAGCAATCAGTCTTCAGGATGTCATGAAGGTTTTTTGGGTTTGTTTGTTTGTTTGTTTGTTTGTTTGTTTTTTAATAGTCCAGTTGTTGAAAATGCTAATGTACTGGCATTCACAGCTGTTGGAGAGCATTCTAGGAAAATTTGGGTAGTGCCCTGGAGGATAGGCACCTAGTACTCTCCTTATAACAATAGGTGAGAATGGTGCACTCCAGAAGATCTTATTGTACATGGATGGGGAGGAAAGAAGAGTGGTTGCACTTTGACACAACTGTGGTTACAGGGTTCAGTGTGTATGGCCCAAAATGTTTCCTATTGCTTGCAGGAAAACCAGCCTTTTCCCCCTTGCAAGTGCCACACACAATTAGCTGGTTCAGTTCCCAATTGCAGTGGGGGAACCACCCTGCTAATTCAGTCACAACTAGTTGCTGACACTGTTAATATCTGGAGTGAAGCTGGGGCTTGCTAACTTGCTTTTTTTTTTTTTTGGTTCATGCTCTCCGCCCTCCTACTTCCTGGGAGTCAGCCCACTTGAGGTGTCCATATGCACCACTTTTTTTCCCCCAGGGTATGTTGGTGTAAAGAAGCATAAATGTCCTACCTCAAGATCACTGTAGATGAGATGACCCTAGCAACATGCCAGATCTTGTCCACCTAAAACTATTATTGCTTGATAGGTGGATAGAAGTGCAGCCACACAGAGAGCTCTGCAAAGAGCAGTTTGCCAGAACATGGGCACTCCTAAGCAATGCTGCCTATATCCTAAAGAATTAAGGATTCCTTGAGTCCAAAGCAGCATTCAGGCCAAAGGAAGCGTTTTTACTGACTTTAGATTAACACATGAACTAACTCTTGCTTTAGCTAACCTTAGTCATGTCAATCCTTTCTCCAGGCTTCTGGCCTCTAGAGAGCAGGCAATTGTAAAGTAGCATTGCAAACTTGTTTCTGGGCATTTGAATACAAAAATGCCTATCTCCATGGGGGAAACTGCTATCAGCAGAACTTAGCATGTCGGCACTGTGAGAAGTATTACTAAAGCCAACATGCCCGAAATGGGTTTTGAAGTTAAAGCACTGTCCAAATTGCTCTCATGCTAGACTTTTTCTAAGTATTCAACCCTACTTCCAAGGTTTACAAAAGGGGAAAACCTAAGGTGTGACTCGTCCAAGGCATATTCAAGTTGTTTGAAGAACTGGATGAGAGCAACTCCCACTTTGTCAGCTTAGACTGTCTCAAGAAAGTTCACTCTCTCCAGTCAGTCTCTCTCCAGCTGGCTGGTGTGTTCCAGGCATTGGATAGCTGTAATCTTACGCGGGGGGGGATTCTTTTGAGACCAAAGAAAATGAAATAAATATCTGAGAGAGCATGGCAACTTTCTCTGTAAAAAGCTTCAGTTGTGACTTCTTGAAAGAGCTGCTCTTCCTGCAGACCAGGGGTTGTCAACTTGGGGGTGTGCATACTCCCAGGGGTACTTGGGAAGGCCCTAGGGGGTACATGTGGGCAGGTGGGGATGGAACGCTGCCACCCACCATCCCACAGCACTTCCCAGGAGCAGGGCCAGGGCAGGGCAAAGGCAGTGGTGCCCCTCTGTGGACCGCACAGGTGCCACTTGGTCAGCCGGACGTGAGGTGGGGAGGAAAGCTTGCATGCGGTGGCAGTCGCTACCACCCCACGCCACCGCTCCACATTTGGCTGCGTGCCACCTCCCCCTCTGCTCTGCGTCCAGCCACTGGGGTGCACTTATTTAAAAAGGTTGAAAGCCCCTGCTGCAGGCAGTTAGCTAAAGGTCCAACGTATGGAAAACAAGATAATAAAATGCGTATAGCACCTGTCTTATAAATTGTTCAAAATTGGAACTGTGGTTTGGTGGTTGTGTCTTCCTTCACTCTCAGCAGAAGTAAAGGGTCTTATTAGAAAGAATACAGCAGGAACACAAGTATGTATGGCTACTTGGATAGCACAGTCCTCCTAATTCTTTGTTTTGGGGAGAACTTTCTCTAAAACCATCAATTGCTGCATTGTCTTGCAGATCTGTGAGGAGCATGTGTCCTTGCCCTCGGAGGCCTCCAGCCATTACAGAACAATCTCTAGGGCTCTCTTTGCTGACTACATGGATTTTCAGCAACTCACATTTACCATCCAGAACTCCAAAGAGGTATCTTGGGACCATCACTATCTGTTCCCTAACTCCACCCACTTAATTCTGATCATGAATTCTTTTTCCCCTGGAGGAGGGTTATTTAGCTGAAGTTATTTATTTTTTTTAAAAATGGGAAGTGTGTGTTTCTTAAAAGCTGTAGCAAATTAATCTTATGAATTACTTCTGTCTTCCAAGAATTTTAAATGTGAAAGCTGGCAATTCAGTGACAGACTGGATAGATGGGAATGACAGTGAGAGACTGCGGGACCTGAACCTATTCAGCCTCCACAAGAGAAGGCTGAGGGGGGACCTGGTGACCGTCTATAAACTCACTAGGGGGAACCAGAAGGGTTTGGGGGAGACGCTGTTTCCCCTAGCCCCCGCTGGCATAACAAGGAGTAATGGGCACAAGTTGATGGAGAGGAGGTACAGATTGGACATCAAAAAAAACTACTTCACAGTTAGGGCAGCTAGGCGCTGGAACCAACTTCCAAGGGAGGTGGTGCTGGCCTCTACCCTGGGGATCTTTAAGAAGAGGCTGGATACCTACCTGGCTGGACTCATTTGAGTCCCGTTTTTGTTTTTTAGGGTTCTTTTGTTGTTCTCCCGCCCTGGCGGGGGGTCGGGCTAGAAGATCTATTAGGATCTTCCGACCCTAAAACTATGAAACTATGACTGGATGCAGTACAGGCTAATGATCAGGTCATGTATTTGCTTGACAGAGTCTGAAAAGAATGGATGTGGTAGCTTTGCTGGAAAATCCTTCCCAGAAGAAGGCAAATTGCTGGGTAAGGATTTAGATTTTTGGTTTTTGTTTTTATAACCCTTGTGTGAGGCCTTCCAGTGACTTTTTTCCATAGAATATTGATCTGAATATACAGATAAAACCATTTAAAAGAAAAACCCTCTAACTCAGGAAGCTAAGGGCTTGTAAACAAGGGGAAACTTACATGAAAAGCCAGGGTGTGAATTTAAAATGTCAGTTTGTTCCCATAAACTCCTTGCATGGACACTAATGCAAGATAGAGTTATTTCTAGTGTCACTTAATCTACTTCCAAAGACACTAAGCATGCACGTGAGCAGCTACTTCAAGATATTTCAGTCTGAGCAATGCTGGGGAAGCTAGTATAGATCAGCTGCTATGTCCCTCAGACATGCTGTGAATAGGTTTGCATATCAAGGTGGCTCAAGGCCAGTAGCCAGTCAATGCTATGGCTCCAACTGTTTGCACTGATCATGGGTGTAAAAACAATGATGGGAGGAGGCTTTCAGGCAGAAAAGTTCAGGATGGACATAGATTGCATGATTACTTTACCATAGCTCCTATGGTCTCATCTCCTAGTTCTTGAACTACATGCTTGTTGGAGCAGAGAAAATGAGTTCTTCTGTCCCAGCCAAGGCTCAGTGCCTTCAGTGCTCTGCCAAAAACAAATAGCTCTTCTGGCTGGAGGTTAGCCAGTATAAACCAATGTGCTGGAGTCTGGAGTCTGTGGAGACAGTAACAGTACACTCTTTTCCCCCTGATCCCGCCCCCCACCCCCAACCCACCCAAGAGACTCGTGGACATACTCCCTTTGTCTAAATAGCATTCACTTTGAAACATATTCAAACTATTCATATGAAAATGTTTGTGCAATATGTGTTTGGGCTTATTTTCAACTTTTCTGATCTGTTAAAACAAACTGGCAAGCTATAGAAAACCACAAACTATAAGCTTGTGTAGCTACTTTTTTTTTTTTTTTAGGGAAGACCTGAGTAAATATGAATTTTGCAGTGTGGCCTCAAGGTCAGCAGACAACTGGGCTTTGCTGCATCAAGAGAAGCAAATTTCAAGGGCAAGAGCTCCACTGCACATTCTCTGCCACTGGTCTTGCAGTGTTAAGTTTCCAAGACAGCCAGTAGGCTGCACCATCTTGAGTCTCTTACTTTATGGTAGTCAGGATGTGCATAGGATTCTTCCAGTCAATCAAATAAGGTTGGAAGACCCCTCATGAGGTCATCCAATTTAACCCCCCGGTCAAGGCAGGAACATCTGTTTTAGCCATTCTACCTATGGTTTTTGTCTAATCTTCACTTTAACATTTCCAGGGACAGAGATGCCACTACAGCTTCTCTATATAATCTGATCCAGTGTTCAGTCATTTTCACAGTAAGAAAGTTCTTCTGAATATCCACTTTAAATTTACCTTGTTGCAATTGTAGCTTGTTTACTTCTTGTCCTTCCCCTGCAACTACAGAGAATGATTTATCACCATCCTTCTTATAACAGCACATTTTATATTTTAAGGCTGTTATCAAATCCCCCGCCCCCCCATTAATTATTGCTTTTCCCAATTAAATAATCCCAGTTCCTCCAGACTTTACTTGTATGTCACATTTTCTAGGCCTTCAGTTATTTCTGTTGTTCTCCTCTCTGTGCTCTTTCCAATTTGTCTGTCGTTCTTGAATTGCAGTGCCTAAAACTGGACACTGCTCCAAGTGAATACCCACATTACACCAGTGCTGAGTAGAATAGAAGATTGGTTTCTCACAAGGAGTGTGTTAATGCCTCCCAATATATTGTTGGCAACAAGAGCACACTGGGGATTCAAATACAGCTTGGAGGCCGATTTAATCCCTGGGTCCTCTTCTGCAATGTTGTAGCCTAGCCACTTGTTCCCCATTTTGTATTTGTGATTTGATTGTTTTGCCCTAAGGGGAGGACTTTACACATCTCCTTATAGAATTTCATCCAGTTTTATTTTAAACTGTCAAACCCTTCAACAGTACCTGGAAGCTGTGTTCCAGACTTCTTTATTTAGCAAACCCTGCCATTAGCCAGAACCTTTCTTGGGCACATCCCTTATGGGAGGGAGGGGAGGGGTACAGAGTTCCATTGCCTTAGCAGGGAATATGTTTTCTGGAGTACCTAGTGGACATCCCTGTCTTCGGCATCTAAGCACTGAGGCCTCTCGTACATAGCTGTTATGCCACCCTTGGGCTGACTAGTACAGTGCCTGGAATATGTGTGTAGTAGGCCTGTGCGAAGCAGCTAGTATTCACTTCAGATTCGGCCATTTCGGGGGACAGCGATTCGATTTGGTGATTTGAATCACTGTCCCGATTCGATTTGGCTGAATCTGATTTGAAGGTTCAGCTGCTGCCAAATCTCCAAGTCACACTGGCCCCATCCCCCGCCAGCCCCAGCTCCCGGCTCTTTGGGGGCGGTGGAGGAAGCCCCCACGCACCAGGTGTTGCTGGGCAGGGGGGGGTGATTGCTCTCCCAGCCCCCGCCCACCCCAGCTTCCTACCTCCCCACCCCCCTTGCCGAGCAGCACCCACGAGTGGGGGCTTTTTTAATCCCTGCTGCAGCAAGCAGGGACTGCCCAAATCACCAAAGCTCTCCAAATCTTTTCCTAATCAGTTTTGGACCTTTTTATTGGTCCCCTGATTCAATTCAGATTTGGAGATTTGGCCACCGAATCTGGCCGAACCTCCTTCGAATCAAATCGGCACCCTATGCTTCACACAGCCCCAAAGGCCCACAATTTCAATTTCTGCTCCTTTTCAAAATAAATAAACTTTTATAAAAAAGAAACACGCAAAGACTGGTCGAGTTTAATAAAGAACATAAATGAATTTTGAGGAAGTGTAAGTGGTGGTACCCTAATTAGGGATGCAGGGGGATCAGTATGCAGGGTGGGGAGCCTGGACCACTTGACAGAAAATGAGCTTCATTCAGCAGG